TCCCGGTAATTATCATTGGTAATTATGATAACAATTATATAAATATACCTTGGTAATTATCTTCATATTTATACAATGAATTGGAACAACAAAATGCTACCTCAAGTAATCTTCTTCTTAATCGTGCCATGTCTTTGTCATATTCAACCGTGTCAAATGTCAATGTACACAAACCAAATCGTTTTCATAAAGATTTTTCTTCGTACTGTTGTAGTTTTTTCTTTATATGTCATTTTACAATAGAATGTTTCAGCACGGATATTATCGGATTATCATGATAATTATCAAAGAAAATAAATATCTTGATAACTGTCAACCCTGCTATATGTATATAATTAAACACTGTTTTACAAACAGCTCTTTATGATTTTCTAAGGATTTTTGTGTTTTGCTTAATCAGTAAGTTTCTAATTGTCCCCGAGTTTCAATTTAGTTTTAGGTTTCTTGTTAGTTTTGGATGTCGTGTTGATTTAATCTAAATAAAAAAAATACCCTGGTTTTAGTGTCGAGTGAGAGATCATATAACACTAACTTTTCACTTCAATTAACAACACTGTACTGATCACAGGAATGAAATAAAGTGTGTTGAAGTTAATTTGTTTACTTTGCAATTTTCTGGCTCGTGCAATCAAATATAGTATTTGATGATTATTTATTTCAAATCAGTCTTATATTTCTTATTCGTAATCATTTTTATATCATAATACCTATATCAACAAAATTATGCTTTTGTTAAAAATTTTAGACAAAGATAACCTTTTGAGGTTCTAGTGACTCGTAAACAAAGGTACATGCATAACTACCTATGTAAGTACCAACTTAAATAATGGATTAAACATTTGGAAATTTTATGAAATACCACTAGGCAAAATGACATTGATTTTCAGCTGAAGATACTCACATGTGTTTTACGCCTGCTTGGTTGCTCCATTTAAAATAAACTCTAATAAGTAGTATATATTTAAGTAATATGTGAATCGAATGAAACACAAAAAATTGGAGAAATGAAACTTCGGGCAGTTTGCCCATAAAATAGTTGTGCACATTACACGCTACTGGTCGGTAATGGAAGGTTGCCCAATCCACAATTTCCATTTAACTTTAAGTACCTACAGTTCAATTTTACTTATCGCTGTACCGATATTACTATGGTCATTTGTAATTGATTATCTGCGATATTAAAAGTTTGTTATATAGGAACATGAGTATTATATAAATAATTTTAATGTGTAGGTAGTTTTAAAATCCGTACGGTCCGTATGAAAAATAAGTAGACAAATTGTAACTGTTAAAGTATTCCACGTAGGTTTTATTATTACAATACCAAATGACGGGACGAACAAGTCGTGCGTCTGATGGTAAGCTACATGCCTGTCCATACCAGCACCCTTACCTTTCAAAACTGGAAAACAGTAATGCTGACATTACTGCTTGGCGGCAGAAATAGGTAAGGTGGGTACTGCCACCTTACCTATTCCCTGGACGAACTCTTTCATAATTAGCTCTACTGCTACTCAAGGTATGGACATGTAAAATACACTCTTGGGTATTTACAGTGTACGTAAGAATGTAGTTGTATTTGATCAATGCTTGACGTTTATTATGAGACTTGTTATTTACTTAAGGAAAGCGATAACCTAGTTGGAAGAAAGTGTACGAGGTTCTATATTCGATTCCCATCGTTTCGAATCATGTGGAAAACTTAGCGATAAAAACTGCAGGGCGAAGAATGATAAGAAAATTGTACAACGACTTCATAAAGTCCAGCGTAGTGGACTACGGCCTGAACTCTGTCTTTAGAAGAGGAAGATTCTAGAACCGTATTTGACCTTACAGATTAAATATGATTATCTTCTAAAATACATGACTCGTCTGTAAGAACAATCTAATGTCTTGTCAATCCTAGTTTTGTGTCAGCTTACACTTGTTCTATTTCTTCTTCTACTTTTTGTCGAGTCAATGCCAAGAACCAGTACAACTCTTGTGTTATATTTTTTTGGCCCAGTAAGCAGCCACCTCTAAGCCCCTATCCGTTGCCTTTAGCAAGTCTACGCGGGTGCAGATGCTCGGACATGAGAGCAACAGTGGGCATGAGAAAAAGTGCGACATACTTTGTGTGGGGGATTCGCAAGCACAATGGTTTTGAGTCCCCATCCCCATTTCACAATGTTGTCTCTACATCGGGCAACTTGTGATCTGAGACGATTCAGGGATTTACATACTGACCACTGCAACTCGTGTCCACGGGGAAGACTTTCGGCTGAGGTAATCGCGTCCGTTGGACTAACTTCTATAGCGGTGGTATGTCGAAGGAAGTTCTTACAACTTCATAGTCGTACAGGTGGCAGCTTGTAGCCGAATGAAGGATGCCGACTGTCTACGTCCTGCTTTAGATTCTCTAGCCAACATGCTACCTCGCGACGTACATTGGGAGGAGTAATTCCCGCTACCCCTAGCGGGTATACATATAATATAATAAAGAGAGAGAAGTCGGCTTCAAGCAACCCGTTATGATGCGACAAGTATCGTTCGTACTAATTCAGCCTGCTCCATTGGAAGACAGGTATTATAGAATAAATGCTCTCAGTGTAGGATTAATTACTAAATACATAATATTTTATATCTTTTGAATAGTGAGGCCTTTCAAGCAGAGACCGTAGGTTTGTATCCGGGCTCACACTTCTGAGTGGCAGACTGTGGATTAAACCCTCGCCTGAGAGGAGGCCCGTGCCTAACAGTGGAAGACATACAGATGAGTTGATGATGATGACGATGAACAATGACCAGCTTGACTTAACACTTTGAAATTTGGACAATTTTTTCATAAGTATTATAGTATTATAATATGCGAAAAGCGAGAATTGAAAAGTAAGTGCGTCCGTACAAATATAATATCAATTCTTCTCATAGGCTACAATACCACGGTACTGGTACAGGTTTATTGAAGTTAACGATTGCATTGTCAACCAATTTCATTCTAACGTATAGCATTGTAACTTTCGCGCTCGTCCGTTCGCTGCTACGATGAATACACATATCACATAAATGAATATGTTATGGCGTCAGTGACATTATTTCAGAAATATGTATATGTAGATGTTTTCTTTTAAAACGTCGCGAGAGAACATCGAAACTTAGTGATCAATAACACTTTACCTTAGCTGTTTAGATATAAGGTTAAAAGTGATGTTTTACCGTTATAAAGATTTTGTCAATAATAATTGTATTCGCTTGTTTCCGTAAAACTCTAATGACTCTGAATATAATGTATATTGCACGTACTGTATGAGATAGGCCTTAAAATCAACTGCTCTTTAAAATATCTACTACGTAATTATGATAATGGAAACACCATTAGCATTAAAATGTTATTTTAAATTCCATTTGAGTGTGATGTAAGAAGTCTGATCTGATTTGATGTAAACAGAGAGCAACCGAAGTTTATACGAATATTATAAAGATTCAACAAAAATTAACAATAACAAAAAACACAACTATTGACCCTATTATCACAAAACGAGATGCATTAATGTTCACGGGGAGCGTACGATAGTGATATATCAAATTAAGTTGTTCTACATAAAACCAGTTGTGAATTCGGCTTTACCACACGACCAGTCACCGGTTGGCATTTTCTCTCTACAATGATCGTGCATTGGTGCACGTGAACGTCTAACTCAATCCACGTATGATAATAAATATGTTCTAAAAATGAACTTCGCATTAGCACCGACAAAATAAATCATAATTCTCTTCCATTTACAATAGCTTCCAAAAAAGGCAAACAAAACAAATTGGGACAGCGTTATGCTCTTCTTAGAAGGAACCCATAGCAGTGGGTCGTAAATGGGTTGGTATACAGTTGGTAAACAAACGTACAGTCTATCTACACGTTCCCATTTGCATAAACAAGTCTGTTTGTATTTTCTTTTAAACTGCAAAATGTATGAAACTGTAAGTATATTTGTATTGTTGTTTTAGTTCTGCATGAATGTATTTTCAACTGATAAGCTAATAAGTAGGTAGCCACTTAAGAAGAAACTTACAACATAAACCAATACACCGTACACACTAGGTAACTTGTTAATTAACTAAGTTTACATTGCAATGACTATGCTAACATAGTTTATGTCTGTTAATAATAAATAAATGCTTATTACACTTATTTTCCCATTATTTATTGTTGACACTTATCATAATGTGTGATACCATAAAATTCGGCAACATGTTCAAATTAGTTCAATACGTACATGTGATAGCACTGATAAGATTGATCCGGTCAGCGTGCTGATAACGTTATCATCAGGCCACGGTTTGAACTAGCCACACTCCTAAGAATTAACTTTTTAAGACTTTCCTAGTCATTATCACTGTCTTATATCTAACGGGTAAATTTTAAGGTAATCGATAAAAAACTTATGTCGAATAAATTATAACGTCCAATAATTATAATATGATATAATTATAATTATGATATCTTGTCATAAAGATTAATTCCTAAATCAATTCTATTTAGGTCATAGTTCTTTAGTTCTTGGTAAGTGAACATGTTAAAGAGTTAGAAATTACAAATTTATTATATAAGTGGACGTATACCGTCTCCCTATTAATACCGTATAATGACTCGTGATATAATGATAAGCAGTATTTAAAAATATATTAATAGGGTATTGTGTATAAGGCAAAAAGCCAGCGATAAGAGCCGTTCAATATAAGTTATAACTTATATTGAACGGTTCTTAACCGTTCAATATAAGTACAGAAAATATTTATGACATTTTATCATATTAACACAATTATAAATATCAGCCGGTGAAATGGTGTAGACGCACGAGGTGTGATTATGATCGTATCCAGAGCAGTCAGTAGCCAGTGCCAGCAGCAGCGCTGATAAGTTTCCCGCCGCATTCCCGTCATGGGTTGCACTCGCGATATCCACTACTGCCACATATCTCAAACGACTCCAAACCACTCGCCAAACTATGACAATTATCACTCACCGAATTTTCATGTTGTAGAGGACCTTCAGTCATTCTCTAAGATGTGATAAAACCGCCGCTGTTCGTGCGGTGACGGCTGACATCTGCAACAGGGCGTCGAGGTCATATGAGTTGATTTAGTTACACTTGCGCAAATAACACTAAATTGAATAGTTGAGCCGGGAGGCTCACTTGTGACGAGTCGACGGTATGCAAAGATGCATGAAGGTAGCTCTATGATTCGAGCGGCGCGGGATCAGGCTCGCATGTCGTCCAGCGTGAGCGACGGGCGACGAGCGACGCTGTCGCGATGCAGGAGTCACTGACTCATTGACTCATTCACTCAATAAGCACGATTGCGGAGTGGGAGGGCGAGCGAGTGACGTGATGATGACGACGCCCGCGCCGCTGCTCCTCAGCCGCTACCGCCCCGCCGCTAGCGCCGCCGCGCATTCCAAACTGTGACGTACTGTATAGATACTACGTTCCATTTTTTGCAAATTCTGAAGCATATGCTTTCTTTATATAGTTTCTAATTATTTATTTACAAATTACATATTCGACTTTGATATTTAATATGTATACTTCTCCTAACTTAGGCATGTCTTTTTTATACTTTAACGTTTATAAATATTATATTGTATGAGAGTTAAAGTATTAAAAAAACATTCAGAGTACCAAAGACCGTTACAAATATTTTGATAACGCCATGGTACGGATTATGATACGAAATTGCCATTGTATAAGGGGACTTTAAACAAAAAAGATTTTAAATAACATTTATTTAAATAAACTAGTTTTTTTATTAAATTTTTTTGTGAAATAACTTCACTAGTTTTGTTATCGTTATGAATACAAAGATCGAACATACAGAGAAACTGTTTTATTTTTTTTTTCGTTCCACCCGAGTGCAACGAGACAACCGTTGCACCGGGTCGACAAAAGTTTTTCTGTGTGTTCGATTTTTGTATTCATAATCACAACAAATAATTTTTTTTTAAGTTTTTCTTTTGCCATCATGCTTTCAATACACTTCTTACCATCTTGCTGGAAGTTCATTTAAAGTAGTAAGTCATAAATAGTAAAATCGTGTTTTCATTTAACATAATTTGTTAATTGTCTACATTGCGGAAAACAACAATGTTTTCCGACTTAACGACTACCATAGTCGTTAAGGGCCAAGCCAGGTAAGTGATGTCAATTTTATAATGAACATTTATCATATTAACAACATACGACAAACACCATCCGAATGTTTAATACATATAATATGAATATTTTCCAAAATTTTATTGCGAGTAAAGGTGGCGTTGTTTAGGAACCTGCAATGTTTTGTTATGCCAAAAGAAAAACTTTTGAAATGTTAACCCAAATTTATTGTATAATTTTTATTCTTGATACAGAAATTCCGCCAAAAATATGTTTTCGGGACGCTTATCTATTTATGTATGTATTTATATCGTATTATCGCTGCACTTAACAGTGCATTACAGTAATTACACTATACAGTAATTTTAGACAATGCTTGAGAATCTTTTCAGTTTTGCTGTTTCCTAAACGGTTCCCAACTGTAAAATCTTGTCTTGAGTGTCGTCAAAATCTGTATTTACTAGAGCGTGGTCCTGATTGCGCTTGAGTACATAATAATCGGCAATAAAAATTGCAATTATTTCTCTTTGACCAATTATAATGTTATAATTTAAACTTCTAAGTAAAAATCTAGGTAGTTTCAATAATACAAGCTTTGTTTCGTTGATAGGCATACATATATTCAGAAAATAACAACTTTTCCAAATCATAGTAATTTAGCAATTATAGCGATCATCGCCAGTATCAGTTTTTCATATTCCGATCGATCATCATAACAAATAATTTTCATTTTCAATAGTAAAGTTCAGCGTTGCGTATTTGATTTTAACAATGTTAAAGTTCTTCCTGTAGGAAAGGCAAAGGAAAGTTAGGGGATATAGCCAAGTATTAATAGACAATTTTTTTATTACTATATAATGGACACTCGCTTGACCACAATCTCACCTGATGTTAAGCGATATGTGAGGCGTTTATCTAAAAAAATGCCTATTCACTTTAGCCTTGAATAGCCCCAAATTGTACTTTTTGGGAAATACAGATGCCGTAGAGCATTCCATTCCTTTGGCATACGCATCAGAAATGAAAAAGCAAAGCGCTTAGTGCGAATAGGTAGAATATCAACGACATAAGAATGGAGTGCTCCGGACCTTCTAGTCGACCGAAGGAGGAACCGGAGTAAGGTGTAAGGGACTCCGTTTTGATGTGAAAAGACACGCCTGTGATTTAGCCGCATTAAACCTGACCCTGTTCGCATCTCCCCAGTAGGGAGACGCTTTCAGGCTCAGGTTCAACCGGGTGACCATCGCCTCTCGTTTACACCGGATCTCTTCGCTGTTGTCTCGGGCGTCTGGCACATAACTCTCTCTACCACTGTGGTGTCGTCAGCGTACCCAAAGATACCGGGCATCAGCAGCAGGTCGTTGATAAGCAGCAAGAATATAGTGCCGGAGAGGGCAGATCCCTGAGGTACACTGATGACCATGACTGAGTACCATGAGGAGCTGATGATTAACCATCTACAACTTTTCGGATTGACCTATCCTTCAGAAAATCGCCTATCCATGTGTAAAAGCTAACAGGAATTCCGTAAGCTGGAAGCTTGTTTAACAGGCTATCATGCCAAAACCTATCGAAGGCCTATACGAATAAAATACGAACGAATGAATGAAAATCGGATATAACCATGGATAATCCCAACTCAAACTTGAGTGAAAACTTGAGTGCAGTTCAGCTGAGTACAGCACTGAGTACTATTCAAGAATAAACGAAATGCTTAAGACTTGAATAAATGCTCAAGCAATGCTTCGTCATATATTTTTGTTTGTTAACATTTATTCTACATCTAATGTGGCTAGAGTATAGATTTTTTTCCTTCTGATTTTTTGTGTTAAGTTAATATAAAAAATACGTATTTTCAATTATTTTTTGTATTGGTGGGCGTTGGATTTTTTATCTTGCCTATGTGGGGGAAGCCAAAAGTTTGAGAACCTATGTTATTAACTCTTGGAAATGTGTTAACTTCCCAACCTGCATTCGACAAGATCGCGGACTATGACCTGAACTATAATAATAATAATGTGCAAGACAACCACACCAATTGCCTGGTCTCAAACTATAGAACTGCCAGTACTGTACCTGTACTGCCAGGGAAAACAGTCCGGGGCGCTACCCACAAGACCCAGATCAAGACCAATTTAGAAAACTTAACTTCCTAATTTGAACCTACCGGGAATCGAACCCAGGACCTTCTCATCTAGCGACTACGGTGTAATGCGTTCAACCACCGAGGTCGTCCACTTGAGGGCAAGTCTCTCTTATTATAATATCATATTTTGTTTTTAGTTATTACGGTAAAAATATCAAAAGTTTGTAGCTTTATAATAACTAGTGGAATATCTGTTCCCTGCCAAAGCACAGTTATTTGTCTTATTTTTCTTTTTTACAGTTCTCCACATTTTCGTGCACAAAATTCTGCAATATATTATTTTTTTTCATTAATTTCAAAATTGTAACTTCAATTATTCAAAAAGTAAGCTCGAAATTCAAAATTTACGTTTAGAATTGATGAGATTTCGTTTAGAACTTGTAGATTTGTATTTTTATGCCAGTTTCAAATTTCATGCTTTTTTAAACAGCTTTTGTGCGATAACACGCAAGAGACTGTCTGTGTCGCGTGCAATAGTTTCAAAACCCTTGTTGATTTAGTAGTACCCTGCTTGCGACACATGAAAGCGCTGGAACCGAGTTCACATGGATTCCAGAGGCCTTATTTATAATTTAATGAATGTGAAGCCGATGCGGGCAGCGCAGGACCGATCGTCGTGGAGATCGTTGGGGGAGGCCTATGCCCAGCAGTGGGCGTCGTATGGCTGAATGATGATGATGATGAATGTGTAATTGCATTTAATTTATAATTAGATGTGGTTTATAATTTGTTTTTATTTATTGAATCGTAATTTATGTCGTATTATGGTTTAAATTCAGTTTAATGTTATAATAATTGTCATGAACATACATTTTTTGTAACTAACATCTATGGATATATGATCTGAAATAAAAAATGATTTTGATTTTTTTATGAGTGATTCCGTTCGTATTCTTAAATTGTGGAATTTGAGTGGACGCCAAGAAAGCTTCACTCGCTGCGCTATGAACTCATTAAATAGGTATATTTTGTTCGGTGTTGGTCACTCATGTTTAATGGACACTATCCACATTCATACAGTCTACTAAACACTAAAAAGAAATACACGGGCGTATTAAAATTTCAATAGGCAAATTACGTAAATATAACAATTGCGCTTAAAATTTTATCAGGACTTGAGAGTTGGTACTACCTCTGCTCGAATTCAAACTTTTCCAGTACTATTACGGTTCATTTTGCTTCAGTCGAGTAGCAGGAACACTAGCTTTATTTCAGAATTTATTTCTTACAAACGTAATTAAAGCCATTTAAAAAATGTATATCGTACGCGTATACGTGTTCTGTTTCATATCATAATCATCGGTATATGTAAAGTACCTATTGAATACAGCGGTTTTCTTGTAAAAGTTCGAGGTAAGTTTGTGTTTTTTTTCTATCGTGAAAATTTTTAGGAATCGTGTTTTCACACTGTATAATTATCAGTGTACATCGTCAATTTTACTATATATTTTTTCCAAAGTGTTGATCAAACAGTTTCACTGTAATGCGGAATCAACCAAAGTCATTTGAGGTTGTACAGACTTTTGAACATCTACATTGTTAATGCCGATTTAACAAATGAGGGATAATACGGGGCAATAATTAACTGACTTAAAAAAAGGAGGAGGTTCTTAACGCGACTATATTTTTTTAACTATTCTTTCCTCGGAACAGCTCATAGGTCTGAATTGGGACCACGATTAACTCACGGACTCACGGCATTATAACTATGTTATATCATATCTTAATAAGTTATACTATCGATTAACAACAAGCTTTTTTAATATGTTACAAAATCGATTGTCAATCGTTTTTTCAATATTTCTGCTCTATATTTATTATAGGCGCCCATTATACTTGTATTTGCACACAAATGTCCATGGAATAGTATGTGGTCATAGTCATATCCTTAGAATAATAACGCATAGAATTATAGTTTCATATCAAACGAACTGTCACAAGTGAGGCAAAAATCAAATTCATGTAGACTGGTTTTAGTAGTAGGTTAATTTTCGGTTTTAGTGAATATTTATAAAAAATACAAGTTGAAACGAGTTACTTCCTTGTGGAATG